ACATAATTGAACAGTGGACTGACAGGCTGCGTTCACTACTGAAGAACAGAAGGTTTGAGGTGACTCTGGGGTAAAAATGCAAAATATTACATTGACACAGAACTTTTTTTTATTCCTGATTCATTGCTAAGTGTAGATATTATTCAAGTTAAAATACAGTGTGGGCAAGAATATTTTAACTTGCACTTTCAAGGTCCAAAAAGACAAATTAGGATTTTCAGTGCAAAATGAGAAGCAAAAGTAACAACTGCACCCACAGTTGTCTCACAAACAGCAGGGGGAAAACGTCATTCATTCCACTCTGAGCAGCAAATCACTTCCCTCCTGAACCTGTGTGGTGGCAGCATACACAACAGCTGCCTGTGGCCCTGATGAGAGACAAAAGAGCATTTTGTCTCTTCCTGTTGAACACATCTCACACACCTTTATGCCTCTCTCACTATTACATTGAAAGAGTCTCACTCACTCTCAGTATAAAATAGTCTGCATTATTTATCAGTCTTCACTAACTCCTCCATCACCTACCATCTACAGTGGTTTGCGCTCAGATAAAGTCATAGCAGCTGTGGTGGGAGACGGAGATATAGCTAGAAAATCAGAAAGCATTAGCAGGTACAGCACATTTTGTTTAAATCTTTATTAGAAAAAATTTCTTTTTTGTTAAAGGTGGTTGTAAAGATTTACATACACCAACTGTACACAACTCTACAAACAGAAAATAACAGAAATATGATAGCTTTCACTTTGTGCTGATGTTCGGTTATTTTGGGAGTCTATCTCGTAGCAGCGTACAAAACATTTGGCTCCAGCTCCCTCTGCGGTGCAGGCCTTCTCATGTTTGTTCTGGTATGGAAACTCAGTGCTGCATAGTTCATGGCATCAGACTCTGCATTCTGTAATGGAAAATGTTTGAAGTCACTAATCTCAAAGGATTAAATGTTAACCTGTTGACATCCGCCAGGTCACAGGCAGTTAGTATAAGATTGACATCCAACTGATATTTATTGAAGTAACGCCCAAATGGGAGAGATGGAAATTTGGTAACATTTTCTGTTTTCTGCATTTTCAGCATAGCTAAAACAATTAAACCCTAACTTAGATGGATTGCTGTTGACTGATGGAAGCTAACAGTTTAAATAACTGAATCAGACAATATATCAATAAATCAACTGGTATCCAAGGTTAAAATAGATTACCTCACTGTGCTGCAAATTCTGCATTTCGTCATGAGCTAAATGGCAGAAACAGTACATCTATCAGTTCTTCACTCAAAACCTTTGCAATTTCAGTTTAAATTCAAACACATAAATACCTGTATGAAGTTTCCTGATGCTAACAACCAGACCAATGATGACCAGTAAAAGGAAAACAGTTAAACTGCCGAGGATCACAGTTGATAGATTGGTTAACCCATCTGCTAAAAGAACGTCAACTGAAAAAAAGAAATAGTACATATAGGATATTCTGCCTTTGTGACAATTACTCAAAAATCAAAGCAAAAGAAAAATATTACCTTGAACCTTCAAATATGTTGCAGTATAAACCTTTGGCCTTCCCATGTTCAACTCTCCACAGAAATATAACCCAGAGTCAGATGAATCCACGTGTTTAATTTCGAGAAATAGCACAGAGGTGTTGGATGTCATCTTAAATTTAGTATCTTGAAATCCATCACAGAAGGTAGCACGACTATTAGCAGTGGGCATAAAAGAGATGCAACTGGCATTGAGTCTGTCGGCCAGTCTGAACCAGAATATGTGGGTTGCAAAACTGCTGAAGTTGGAGCACTGCAGTGTGATTTCTTGTCCAGGGTCAACCACCACAGTGTAAAACTGTGCGAGTGAAACAGATATCCAACCTGAAAGAATCAACAAGTATTCATAAAAGACAAATTTCCAAAGAACGAAACAACACCTAAAATTTATGTTGTCAATAAACTTTTGTAAATTTCATTTAATGGCAACAACAAATTGCAACTAACTACTGATAAAAAATAGATAGGTGTACTTACTGAGAGTATAGAGTAGAAATGATAGCAAGTTGAAGTTCACCATTGTGCACACGGCCACTGCAGTGGCACTAACTGAATGGTGCTCCTGCAAAAGTGATCTCTAGACAAAGAGGTGGGCTGTTCTTATATATTTAAACTGACTGCACTGACTGCAGACCAACTGCACGGGTGCTTGTAGAAAAGCGCAGCAACAAAAATCAGGATATCATCGCTTGTTTGTTAGGTTTGTTTGTTAGACAGTCTCAGTAATGCTTTTGTAAACCTTTCCTGACACTGGCACATTAAGTTAGTCTTTGATTTTTATAACTGCAGGACATGATAATAGTCTATGTGATTAAGCTTTGACTAAACCAGCATCTCTCTATCTAGCTAGCTGGATAGCTACTGCAGTTAAAAGTTTATATTCAGGTTAGTATTTTAGAAACAGTCATGCAATAAGAAAGCCAGTTGCTTCATAAATTGCAGGCTGGCGTACATGCACACAAATAACACAAGTAAATTAACAACATGATTATATCTTTAGTGGATATCTGACCTCTATAAAAGTGATAATTAATTGA